TGATTAACAAAACAAACATTTACTTATAAACACACGTATACAGCTTAAAAGGAAGCAAATGTCCATATAGGTACAAAGTCAACCTGAAACATTATTATTGTTCAAGTATGTGCTTTTGTAAAGGCAGCTTGGACGCGTCTCAACGACAGTTTATAAAAATAATACAATGTCCAGTAGAATATGATCATATTCCATTCGTTGATGAATGAGATTTCCATAGCTCGCGGTCCCTGTGGTGCAGCTGCCTCACAGGACACTGGGCCCCCTGGCGCAGCTCGGCCACAGAGCAGTAGGTCCCCTGATGGAGCTGCGTGGAAGGGACTCTCAGAGGATCTCCAGGGACCATCTCTGATTCATTTTCTTTGGGTTGAATTCATTGAGAATAATCTGGGTTTTGTCAAACTGTTGGCCTCCTGTGGAGAGAGAAAGAGAGAGAATATTTTTGCATTTTGGCTATAATTTTATTAATACGTGTTGAGTGAATATTATGAAAACATTCAAATCAGAGTTTTTAAGAGATTTCAATTTATTTTTGTGCACATTTTGAAACAGCTAATGATGTATTATTTAAATGACAAAGTACATCACAGGAGTGTTTCTTAACTTAATTGGAGTGGATTTTATTTATTATTATTATTAGTGCACTGTAAAAAAATGTTTTAACTCAGTGTTTCTGTCCTGTTTTCCAGCACAAATATCAAAACATTTTTAAATCAAGATACAGTTACTGTAGAAGCAAAATGACTTTTATTAAGATGTGAAAAAACAAAACAGGATTATTTTTGTCAGATATTTGTTCTTGTTTTAAGCTCAAACTCACTTCATTTTGATGCATTTTTCACATCCTAATAGTTCTATAGTATATCTTGATTTAAGAATGTCTAGATATTGAGAAGAAAATGCACCGTATTATTATTTTTCGATAAAAAGTTATGATTTTTATCATGGTATTACAATTTAAATATGGCTTTCTTTTGCATTTAGCGCTTAAATGACAATTGTCAATCATAATGGCACTATAAATCATTTCCTTTATGCAAAATCTATGAATTATGAATGACGACAGGCATTTCTTTATGAGATTCAGCCAGTTAAATGTTTAATGATTTGCAGTTAAGCGAGTTTCTCTCATTGTTCATTAGTTTCCGAGCCGCCTGTCATCTGTTGATCTACACATGTGAACCTGAAGCTGAATAAGAGCATCTGTCGCATGAATATTAATAACTCGTTCTGTGTGAATCCAGCAGGTGGCGCTACACGCTCATCTATTTATTCATCTATTGATGCAAACAGACACATTTCTGAGTTTAGCATAAATCATGTGGATTTATGAGACAACTATATTAAGAGTAATCACTTCCAGCAGACTAAACTTACTAGTTTTATTTTCCATAGAGTCATTTCAGGAAGCTACATACATTTAATGAGTTAAAGGTGTCCCTGTTAAAGGAATGTAAACTACTTAAACCTGGTTACCACAGAAAATACTTTCTACATTCTCGGTTTGTAAAAACAAAGGTGTTTTCAGTAAAGCTCTTTCAGTGGAAGTCTATGTGGAACAGGTTAAGCTGAAATATGACCAAATACTAGAGGAAAACGTTTAACTAAACGAAAATTTGAAATGTTGTCTTGGTGATAAAACTGAAATGAGTTTAAGTTGAAGCACTAAAATTATTACCTAGAAACTAAAACGAGCAAAAACTGAAGTAAAAATAAATAAATAAACTAATAAAATGACAAAAACATATGATAAAATGACCATGCAACTGAAAATAAAAGCTAATTGAGATATAATAAAAATGGAATACAAGTAAAATAACACCGAATTCAGTATTTTTGTCTTGTTTTCCAGCACAAATAAATCAAGATGCATTTACTGGAGAAGCAAAATGACTGACGATATTAAGATATTAAGAAAAAATGAAGTGAGTTTGTGTTTAAAACAAGAACAAATATAATAATTTTTCTGACTCTATTAGCAGATATTTGTTCTTGTTTTAAACACAAACTCACCTCATTTTGATGCATTTTTCACATTTTAATATCGTCAGTCATTTTGCTTCTCCAGTAAATGTATCTTGATTTATTTCTGCTGGAAAACGAGACAGAAACACTGAGTTAAAACATCATTTTGTTTTAAAAGTGAATGTTGAAATCAGTCGTGACCGATCTCGGACGCCTGTGGAAGTATTCCTTGCTCTACTGTGAGATATTTGAGCGCTCTCTGACCTTTGACCTCCAGCACGAGGTTCGGTGCGCTGTTACTCCGGATGATCCCGTCGCTCGTGATGTTCCAGATCTGATGAGGTTTGCCGAACTCTGACGACAGAACCGCTCGAGCGCCGGGCATCAGAACACCAGAACCCACATCCACACAGCAGTCCAGCAGCCACTGACACACACACACACACACCGTCATCACTAATGCTTTATCAGCAGCACTGACATCATAACTAATATAATGATGATGCTATCAGATGGTTATACCATGGTACCTAAAAGTACAAATGGTGCTATATATATATATATATATACAGTCAAACCGAAATGTATTCAGACTCCTTCAACATTTCTCAGTTTATTCGCTATAGTTTAGAAAATGGAGAGTTATGAACTCAGTGGATATTTGACTGGTTTTGTCCGTCCTTCTGTTAGACTCTCACACATGAGTTATGTTGAATATCTGTCAGCTGTTAAATTTAACTACACAATTAGATAATACCAGTTTAGCTCAACCAGTGACCAAGCAATGCTTCATGTTGTTCAGTGTGTGTGTAAAAAGAGCATTAGCAACTACAGAAAACACACTGAAGAAAACATGATCAGCTCAAAGTGGAGGAGTCATTATTGGTCCCAAATTTTACTGGTAGTCACTGTATGAAGAATATTTGGGTATATGTCACAGTTTACTTTATTTTGCTCTCCTCACTTACATAAATGAACTATAGTGAACAAGTAAAAAAATGATATCTAGTGTCTGAATAATTTTTGGTTTGACTGTGTATATATATACAGTGGGGGAAATAAGTATTTGACCCCTTGCTGATTTTGCAGGTTTGCCCACTTACAAAGAATGCAACGATCTATAATTTTAATCATATGTACATTCTAACAGTGAAAGACAGAATCCCAAAGAAAATTCCAGAAAATCACATCATATGAATTTATAAAAATTGATAACCATCTGATGAGGAAAAACAAGTATATGACCCCCTACCAAACAGCAAGTATTCTGGCTCCTACAAGCCAGTTAGTCTTTCTTTAAGACACAGCCCCAATCCCAACCAATTATCTACATCAAATACACCTGCCTCACCTCGTTACCTGTATAAAAGACACCTGTCAACACCCAAACAACCATCATCCAACATCACCACCATGGGCAAAACCAAAGAGCTTTCTACGGACATCAGGGACAAGATTGTTGATCTGCAGAAGGCTGGGATGGGCTACAAGAGAATCGGAAAGCAACTTGGAGAGAAAAGATCAACTGTCGGTGCAGTTATCAGGAAATGGAAGAAGCACCACACCACCGCCAACCTCCCTCGGTCTGGGCCTCCACACAAGATCTCGCCTCGTGGGGTGTCCCTGATCATGCAAAAGGTGAGGAATCATCCCAAAACCACAAGGGGGGAACTGATGAATCAACTGAAGGCAGCTGGGACCACAGTTACAAAAGAAACGGTTGGTAACACACTATGCCGTCATGGATTGAAATCCTGCAGCGCACGCAAGGTCCCCCTGCTCAAGAAGAAACATGTACAGGCCCGCATGAAGTTCGCCATTCACCACCTGGACGACTCAGAAGAGGCCTGGAAGAAGGTGATGTGGTCAGATGAGACCAAAATAGAACTTTTTGGCCTCAACTCGTCATGTTTGGAGGGCAAAGAACACCGAGTACAACCCAAAGAACACCATCCCAACCGTCAAGCATGGTGGTGGCAACATCATGCTTTGGGGGTGCTTTTCAGCCAAGGGGACGGGACAACTCCATCGTATTGAGGGGAGGATGGACGGGGCCATGTATCGTGGAATTCTGGACCAACATCTCCTTCCCTCAGTGAGAGAGCTGAAGATGGGTCGAGGATGGGTGTTTCAGCATGACAACGACCCTAAGCACACCGCCAAAGCAACAAAAGAGTGGCTGAAGAAGAAGCACATCAAGGTTCTGGAGTGGCCTAGCCAGTCTCCAGACCTGAATCCAATTGAAAATCTTTGGAGGGAGCTTAAAATTCGAGTTGCCAGGCGACAACCTCGGAACCTGAAAGATTTGGAGGCTGTCTGCAGGGAGGAGTGGGCCAACATCCCTGCCGAAATGTGCACAAACCTTGTCACCAATTATAAAAAGCGTTTGACATCTGTGCTGGCCAATAAGGGCTTTTCTACAAAATATTAACATGCTGTTTGTCCAGGGGGTCAAATACTTGTTTTTCCTCATCAGATGGTTATCAATTTAAATAAATTCATATGATGTGATTTTCTGGAATTTTCTTTGGGATTCTGTCTTTCACTGTTAGAATGTACATATGATTAAAATTATAGATCGTTGCATTCTTTGTAAGTGGGCAAACCTGCAAAATCAGCAAGGGGTCAAATACTTATTTCCCCCACTGTATATATAAATATATCTACCTTGCACTGCAAGCGACCGTCCTGATAGGCCCAGATCTGATCGGCTCCGCCCCTCTCCTCGGTCCCCTGGATACGCATCAGTTTGATGTCATCGAGTGACCCGGTGACTGACATCATTAGCCCCGCCTCTTCGTTACGCAAGCGGAACAGCGGTTGCTTCTGAAGGGGAGAAACTTAGTGAGAGTGTGTTTACATCAAAACAAACATGATTCAGACACCAGATATACTTTTTGATATTTTTTTACTAGTGTGTGCAGGACACTATAGTTCATTATGTAAGTTGTTTTCTAGTCCCGCCCCCTAATGTGTCATCACTGCGGTGGGCGGAGCCTCTCACCTGCATGATTGGGCGGAGCGATCCGATTCGACGCCAGGAGGAGAGTTTGGGCCAATCAGGAACAGCGCCAGGCTTCAGCAGGAACTGAGAACCTCTGAAGTTACTGGCCTCGTACAGAACCCACCTGTCAATCAACACACACACACAGGCTCAAACACACACGTTTGCTAACGACACACACTGTATGTCCGTCTCTAAGCTCACACTCGTTTATTTTGAGTTTGTGGTCAGTTCAGGCTAAATATACTGTACGCCCTCAGATGCTCTTTCTTTTATGGAAAGAATTTGGCATTTGTGGAAAAAGTCAGTAGCCCTTAGAGAGTCTGACGTCTTCACTGCCAAAGTGAATATTAGAGCTTGACATGAACGTTACGAACCTAAATGCACAATACACACTACCGGTACTAAAAAACATTATAATACACAAATATCAAGTAGAATAGTTCTGGTTATTATGTACACTGTACACTGATATATTGTAATTAAGTACATTTAGTAAGAAAACACCATTTTAAGATTTCATGTTTAATTCAATGCGTCACTTTTGCGTTGTAGTTGCTTAGCTCGTACTTTCCGAGAGGATAGCTCTGTGATGTTGGAGAGAGCGTGAGCAGATTCACAGGAGTGTGTTAGATGTCACACACAGCTGAAGACTTTCCACTCGCTGAATATGTTTAGAGACTCGATAACTGACAGGTTTCCTGCTCGCCCGCAGGTCAGACGTATATAAACACTGAATCACTGTGTGCATGGAAACCAGTAAACATGTGAATATGAGTGGACACACACACACACACACACACACACACACACGTGTTCAGAAACCGCTGGACGGAGCGAGACAGAGTGGAACCGAAGGCAGGAGTCTCAGTGTTTTTAAAGTGAAGCAAAAAACTAAAACTAGTCTGTGTGTGTGTGTGTGTGTGTGTATGCGTGCGCGCGTGTGTGTGTATGCGTACGCATGTGTGTGCACGTGTGTCTGTGTGTGTGTGTGTGTGTGTGTGTGCACGCGTGCATGTGTGGTTGCATGTGTGTGTATGCATGCGTGCGCGTGCATGTGTGTGCGCGCGTGTGTATGCGTGCGTGCGCACGTGTGTGTGTGTGTGTGCGCGTGGATGTGTGTGTGCATGCATGCATGCATGCATGCATGTGTGTGTGTGTGTGTGTGCGTGCATGCGTGTGCATGTATGTGTGCGCGTGGATGTGTGTGTGCATGTATGCATGCATGCGTGTGTGTGTGTGTATGCGTGCGTGCGCGTGCCTGTGTGTGTGTCTGTGCGTGTGTGTGTTTATGTGCATGTGCATATGTGTGTGCGCGCGTGTCTGTGCGTGTGTGTATGCTTGATTGTGTGTGTGTGTATGTGTGCGTGCGTGCACGTGCGTGTGCATATGTGTGTGTGCGCGTGTGTCTGTTGTGTATGCGTGGTTGTGTGTGTGTCTTACATGCCGCCCTCCACCAGCACAGAGGAGACTCTGCTCCAGCTCTCCGTCAGCTGCAGGTTCACGGAGCTCGACTTCAGTAAAGTTCTCCTTCCTCTGAGTCCAGGACGCTCGAACAGAACGATAGACGGCAGAGAAAACTCCTGACACACAGAGGAACAAGTTATTATTCCAGCAACATTTCTACAGTCTTATTTGAGATGTCGGTACACAAGAGCTCCAAATATTAAAGAGGGCCTATTATGGGTCTGTAGTTTCAGGCTCTACTAGAACAGGTTTTCCTGCTTGAATGTTGATTATTCTCCTCATATTCTCCATTGTTGCGGCTCCTCTCTTCCCAGTCTGTCAGTAACGCTCTGTTTACTTCCTGTCTCTATGAAGCCCCGCCTTCTGAAAAGCACACTGTGCTCTGATTGGTCGGCTGGATCAGTGTGTTATGATTGGTCGAGCGCTTCGAGTGTGTTTGGGAAATGTCCCGCCCCTTTCTATAACCACCAGTTTAACACACTACTGACTAACTCAACCAGGCCCCGCCCCTTTATTCTGCATATTAATTATTATAATGAGGAATATTGTGACGTGTTCGTTCCCGGGAGAAACTCAAGACTACAATGGAGGAGTTTCAGGAGTCCAGAAACACTGATATAGAGGAGAACTGGAGCTTTTTTCAAACAGCAACATCACACACTGAACACAGATGAACACTCACATGTCCAGTGGGTTGGACAGACAGCACTGATGCGTCGGGTTGTGTGAAGCCCATCGTCCTCAGATCTGGATACACACCTTCTTCCAGAACACACTGATGCCCGGAGAAACCCTCACAGCCAAACGCCAGCCAGCTACACACACACACACACACACACAAACAGATGTTCATATGAGGGCCGAAAAACACACACATACACACACACACACACACACACACACACACACGTTCATATGAGGGCCGAAAAACACACACTCTCTCACACTCACACACACACACACACACACACACACACACACGTTCATATGAGGGCCGAAAAACACACACTCTCTCACACTCACACACACACACACACACACAGATGAACTAACCTTCCAGCACAGACCCTGCAGGAGCGCACGATGAACCCCTCAGGCATTCTGGGTAATGAGTCCTGCAGAACTACAGACGTGCCGCCGAGCCCCGGCTCAGGAAACAGCTCGAGCTGCCCAACAAGATCACTGCATTACTTTACAAATAACATTAACAATAATACAAATAATACACATTCTCTGTACAAACCTGGAAGTGGCAGGAGTTTTCCAGACTTCCCTGAAACATAATGAAGCATAAAAGCAAACACATTAATATGAATATATTCCAGTTACAAAGTCAGCATGAAATCAACACATGTTCCTGCTCTTATTGTGAGCGATTCATCATTATTATAAACAAATCAAATCTCTTTATCTAACATCATCAATCCCTCATATCTTACACCAACTCTTCAACTCGAGATCGAAGTGTTCAAGTAAAGACACACACACACACACACACACTGATATGAGGGCAGAAACACACACACACACTGATATGAGGGCAGAAACACACACACACACACACACACACTGATATGAGGGCAGAAACACACACACACAGATATGAGGGCAGAAACACACACACACACACACACACACACACACACACACACACTGATATGAGGGCAGAAACACACACACACACACACACACACACTGATATGAGGGCAGAAACACACACACACACACACACACACACACAGATATGAGGGCAAAAACACACACACACTGATATGAGGGCAGAAACACACACACACACACACTCATCCTAGCAACACTTTATGTTTTTACTACCAAATTATATGTCTCTAATTATCTTAAATTACAGTGGAATGAGTTCCTGAACACAGTGCATGATGGGATACGCTCAGGTCTAAAGTGGCGTTGCACTGCAAAAAATGATTTTCTTTCTTATTTTGATCTTGTTTCCAGTCCAAATATCAAACATTCCCTAAATCAAGACGCATTTACTAAAACGACAAGATATTACGTCTCGTTTTCCAGGGGAAATTAATAAAAATTAAGAGAGTTTTTGCTTAAAACAAGCAAAATGATCTGCCAATGGGCTCAGAAAATATTTGTTTCTGTTTGAATTAAGATTATTTTTCAGACCCCATTGATCATTTTGGGTTTCTTTAAGCATCGACTCACTTAATTTTGATTAATTCCCCCGGAAAACAGGACATGATATCTTATGCCATATTACTACTTTAGTAAAAGCATCTTGATTTAAGATTTTTTTGATATTTGGACTAAATACTGCGTAAGAAAAGCATGTTTCGCAGTGTGATATAGTGTGTGTTTAGTGTGCATTAAAGGCAAAGTTTTGCACACTTTCTTCATGTCGCGTTCACACACTCTCAAGTGGCGAGAGCAGGAGTGTGTGTGTTTGCACAGAGTCCCTCACCAGAGTCACCGGGATCACACATGAGATTCGGCTGTCGGCCGCGCCCCAGTCCTCCGGGCTTCCGTAGAGACCCTTCTCCAGGACATACTGACGACCACACAACCCGGCGTCCTCGAACGCAACCCAGCTGCAACACACACACACGGGGGTTAAACACACACTTAACCTCCTCACACAACCAGTCTTCACTTGTTCTTCATATACAATAGTTATGGTGTTAACTAGAAAAACTCTTGAATCGGTAAAGTAAAATGCTTTCTGTCAGATTTTAGATAATTATTATATCAAGTACTTCAGAACTACACACACTCCCAGCAGAACTACACACACTCCCAGCAGAACTACACACACTCCCAGCGGAACTACACACACTCCCAGCAGAACTACACACACTCCCAGCAGAACTACACACACTCCCAGCAGAACTACACACACTCCCAGCAGAACTACACACACTCCCAGCAGAACTACACACACTCCCAGCAGAACTACACACACTCCCAGCAGAACTACACACACTCCCAGCAGAACCACACACACTCCCAGCAGAACTACACACACTCCCAGCAGAACTACACACACTCCCAGCAGAACTGCACACACTCCCAGCAGAACTGCACACACTCCCAGCAGAACCACACACACTCCCAGCAGAACTACACACACTCCCAGCAGAACTACACACACTCCCAGCAGAACTGCACACACTCCCAGCAGAACTACACACACTCCCAGCAGAACTACACACACTCCCAGCAGAACTGCACACACTCCCAGCAGAACTACACACACTCCCAGCAGAACTACACACACTCCCAGCAGAACTGCACACACTCCCAGCAGAACTACACACACTCCCAGCAGAACTACACACACTCCCAGCAGAACTACACACACTCCCAGCAGAACTACACACACTCCCAGCAGAACTACACACACTCCCAGCGGAACTGCACACACTCCCAGCAGAACCACACACACTCCCAGCAGAACCACACACACTCCCAGCAGAACTACACACACTCCCAGCAGAACTACACACACTCCCAGCAGAACTACACACACTCCCAGCAGAACTACACACACTCCCAGCAGAACTACACACACTCCCAGCAGAA